TGGATCACCACATTTGATACATTTGAGCCTGGAAAAGCAGTGTACTTCAGAAGTGCTGAGCAGGGCAGAAGCTCTGGTGAATAGTAGTTGAAGTAAGAATCAAGAGATCTAGCTATTGATACTATTAACTGTATAAAACAGATAGCTAATGAAAACCTACTGTATAGCTCAGGGAACCTTACTCAGTGCTCTGTGTTGACCTAAATGGAAAGGAAATCCGAAAAAGAGAAGATATTGTATATGTATAGCTGATTCACTTTGCTCTACAGCAGAAAATAACACAACATTGTAAAACAACTATACTCCTATAAAAATTAATCTAAAAATAAATAAAAATACCCCTAAAAAAGAGATCCAGCTAGCAGAACCAGACTTGATCCATGTAATATTGGGTAAGATTGTTTCCTAGACATGTTTTCACAATCATTTTATTTTGAGACTTTGTGGTACTCCTTGCTCTACAGCTGCTTCATAATGTAATAGCAGAAATTTGGTGTTCAAACAACAAAATGATTTAAAACTATAATACAGGAATGAAGATATACAGGTCCCAGTTTAAGGCTTGTATCTCAAGCAATCTTATATTTTAATCATGATAAAATATGTACATCATGCAGTTTATCATTGTTGCCATTTTAAGTGTACAGCTCAGTAGCATTAAGTACATTCATAGTGTTGTGCAATCATCACTACCATCCATCTATAGAATTTTTTCATTCTTCAAAAACTGAAATGCTGTACCTATTAAATAGTAACTCCTCATTCCTTTTTCCATCTGGTCATGCAAACCACTATTGTACTTTCTGATTCTATGAATTTGATTACTCTATGAATCTGAGACACTTTCATACTCACATAAGTGGAATCATACATTAGTGGTCCTTTTGTGTCTTGCACTTAGCATAATGTTTACCACTTTCAACATTTTTAAAGCATGTGTCAGAATCTATTTCCTTTTTAAGGCTGGATAATTTTTCACTGTATGAATATATGACATTCTGTTTATTATAATCCTCTTTTATCAACATGGGTTAGACATTTTGGCTGTTATGACTAATGCTTCTTTGAACATGGGTGTACAAAAATCTCTGGTTCTCTGACTTCAATTGTTTCGGGCATATAGCTAAAAAGTGGAATTGTTGGATCATAATGCTATTTTTTATTTGGAAAATTATATTTAATTCTTATAGAAATAAAAAATATTTTAAATTATATATATAATTCTATTTTAATTTAATTTATAACTTTTTGACATGTCATGTTGTTTTCCATAATGGTTGCCCCAGTTTACATTCCCAATAGCAGTGCACAAGGGTTCCAATTTCTCCACATTTTCTCCAATGCCTGATACTTTCTTTTTTTTTTTTTTTGTTCATTGTTATTTGGATAATAGCCATCCTAATAGTTGTGATATAGTATGGCACTGTAGCTTTAAATTGAGTTTTCCTAATGATTAGCGACAACGAGCAAATTTTCTGAGGGATGCAATATCCAATGACACAGGAATTAGAAGAAATATACAAACCTGTCCTTACTGCACCCACAGGAATCACATGGCCTTACTGCGTGAAGGACCTTTGTTGGGCTACCACAGCAAAAGGACTCAGAAAGGAAAGGCAACCTCCTGCTTTCTCTCCTCAATTTCCTGTCTCCCTATAGCAATCTGAATGATCAGATCCAAACGGGTGGTAAAGGACAAACAGGGCTGCCAAAGTCCTGGCCACAGGACCTGCACATATTCCAAGAAATGTTGATTAAGAGATTCAGATATCACTTTCCTAGCATCTTCTACCTCTTAAAGAATATTTCATACATGGAAGGAAAGAAAGACTATGCTTCTATCTCAAAATATAATTAATAGAATGAATTACTAATTGCATCATCAACAACATAAGATAGCAGGCACTCAAGCTGACGTAAGAGTCTTTGTTAAGGGACTTGTGCTATATGCTACAGGTAAAGGGAAGTTATATTGAGATTTAAATGACTGGTGGAAAAAGACATAAACGTTCCTTTTGAGAATTGGTTCCCAAAATGATGCTCAGCTATGTGAGCAGCTGTAAGCAAAATGATAATGAATTGGAGCTCAGAAAGATAATATTAGATTTTTCCAAACATTTAAAATCTATTCTTTTATAACAGGGTTACAAGCTAGAGCTTAGTGGCTATATCTGGCCTGCTGTCCTTTTTATAAAAAATCAATTTTGGAAAATAGCTATCCTCATTTTTTATCTTATTGTCTATGGCTGACCTTCTGTTACAATGGCAGAGTTAAGTAATTGGGACAGAGACTTGTATGGCCCTCAAAGGCTAGGTTATTGAATATCTGGCATTTTACTAAAACATTTGCCAATTCACCAACTCCTGTTTCATAACTTCGTTTACTTGCTTCCTGAAGTGTAAAAAGATTATTACTCTATGTAGATACTATCATGACATATGACACATCTTTAAAGTGTTAGAGAAAAGCTTTCTTAAACAAGGATGCTTGCTTAGAAAAATATAGAAACTTTTGTTTCATTAAATTGGATGTCAAATTGCCACAGTTAGCCTGCCAGGCTCCTCCGTCCATGGAATTTTCCAGGTAAGAATACTGCCATTTCCTTCTCTTCCTGACAGGAAGATCTTCAGGGGATCTTCCTGACCCAGGAATTGAACCCACATCTCCCCTGGCTCCCACGTCCCACCTGGCATTGGCAGGTGGGTTCTTTAACACTGAGCCACTAGGGAAACCTTAAAGGAGCATACTAGCAACTTTTAAACAGTAGGTGTTTCACCGACCAAACTTTTCAGCCAATGGTAATGGAGAAATTTTTCGATTGTTTACAGGCTCAGATTTCTCCCCAGACTCACTGTTAGGATTAACTTGGAACTGACAATCCCACATGCTTGCTCCTGAAGGGATGCCCAAATCAAGCCTCCAACATGACCTCCAACACTCAGTTGCCAAAGTTGCCTCCTGGACTCGAGAACAGGGAGGAGACATTGGAAACACACCAGAGATGCCCTTCACTGAGTGCCTCAGAACAGACTCTTCTGCCAAGAGGTCTCTGACTATTTGCTACCATTGGCCAAAAAAAAAAAAAAAAAAAAAGCACACACTCAGTTATAATGTAGTTGTCTCACAGGAATTCCTGATAGCAGACTATGCTGCACAGAAGGTCCAGTCCACTGAGTTCCTTGCAGTGCTCTATTACCTCAACCTCCAGTCGTAGGTCAATGGAACCTCCAGTCAATAAGAAATTCCCTTGGCACTTGAGTCACATGATGAATACGTACTTTTTCTGACTCATTAGATTTAGCATTAGAATATCAGCATCATCCCAGACCACAAAGTCTTTGATGTGACTCACATTGTTACAATAGAATAAAAGTCGAAGAGGAGATGTCAGAATCTGTCATTGTGATGACTCTGTGCACAACCAAGGGCTAAAGCAATATATAGGAAAGGGCTTTTTTTTTTTTTTTCGCTCCTTTGAACAATACTGGAGTTGTGATCAGAGATACTCTAGTTATAACAGGTTTTCATAAGGTTAAGTAAGTTGGTGTGGGTGGAATGCCCACGAACTCTTATGATACTTTGAATAAACTCATAATGGTGAAAGCAGAGCTGTCAAACTTGACAGGTACAGAGGCAAACAAGTTTCACATGGATTTAATGTTTGGGTCAAAACAGGCAGAACAATATACAGAAAAAATATATATGAAGAGAATAGTAAAAAGTAAAAGAATTCTGACAAGAGACTCAACTCCCACAGTTTGCCCTGTCTTTGGCAAACACAGAAATAAATTTCAACCAGTTACATTTAGGGTTCGCCTCCTTCAGGACATGCAGATATTTACATGCTGCCAATGCATAAAAATGTTCAGTTGTATGACTCTTATAGATATGATAGATTAAGAATTTTGAAAATAAACTAAATGATAGTTGACAAAGAATACACAGATTTATCAATGTACACAAATATATACAGTTTCTGTCACACACAGCTCTTCAATTTAGACACAACTGTTCTATGTTACTGTTAATCTCAGAATTAAAAAGCAAAGAGAAAATTCCCTTTTTCTTTCTTAGTCCTGGGCTCTCTTAATCAAGAAGCCACCACATTCTTCCTGGGATACACAGGAATAAGGCCAGGTGGGACAGAGTCATACCTGCATACTAGTGAAGGAGAGTTTTCAACAGTTTCTCTGTGAGGAGAAAACCAAGACAGATATCACAGCCCACATTCTAGCTGTTACATTTCTTCATGGATGTAAAATAGTAGGGCAATTCCATGGGTAGTTTTCCAACTAGAGAATCATTCAGTACATTAACTGAAGTTTGAGTGCATGGTTGTAAGCATTTTCCTTAGCCGATCTGTTTCCCAGTCTCCTTTTCTGACAAATAGACAAAATATCAATTATCTCTTCAATGCAAGGCTTGATTAGAGGTCACAGATGTATGCTATGTTTCATGTGGAATATTAAGGATGAATAAAAATGTTTAAAAGCAATCTAAGGTTATTTCTGGTAGTGCGGAGGGACGCACAGTTCATGGGAGCATAAGATTTCGGTCTAGAAATGCTGGACTACAATTTTCAGTATTTAAATTGCCAGTAGATAAATATTTATTTATTTATTTTTAAATTGGAGTTTTAGATAAACAACAAATCATTTTATTAGTATAAGTATATTCCAACTATTGTGTGGGATATACGCATAGTTGAATTTTCCCCCATTTTTTATCTAAAATTCAAATTTAACTCAGCATCTAGTATTTGTCAATGTTGCCAACTAATCCTTCTGCTATTCTATGGAAACACTTAACCTCAGGCTCATACACACTAGCCATATGTAGTCATATTTACTGCATAGCAATCACCCATATTATTTGTTCACAGTGTGTATGTCCCTGTCTGTCTGGATGTACCCAAGTATGTCTCAGGCAGTGGGCTACAGGGGAAGGGGCTAATTGCACAGCTTGCCTTTGTATCACGGTGAAGCCACTGGAAGGAAAGATGTGGGGTGCCCACCAGTTCTGCCAGACGCAGGTGGGTGAGACTTGAGGCTATTTACACTGAATTCTGAGGTTGGGAACTGGCCCTGGGATTTGCTGTGAGCTGAGCTTCCTAGAGGATGAAGGCCCTCCTCAATGTCGCCATCAGTTGTTGCCATGGCTTTTCTTGAGCCCCTCCCTGATAAGGAGGCTCATCACCTCAGAAGCAGCTCACTACCTGTGGAAATAACAGTCTCTGTTGGTCTACTATTCAGCCAAGCTCCTTCATTTCTGGCTAAGGAAAGCTTGCCTCTGGAGGGAAGGGAGTTTCCCTCAAAGCAGGGTGTTCAATGAGGACTTCTAGTCTCAAATCCTGCTCCTTTCCCGATGAACTCTACTTTCTATTTCCTTTCTTCCTTTTAAAATTTTAAGTGGGGTATAGTTGCTTTCAAATGTTGTGTTAGTATCTGCTGTACAGCAAATTGAATCAGTTGTACATATAAATAAATACCTTTTTCTTGGATTTCCTTCCCATTTAGATAGCCACAGAGTACTGAGTAGAGTTCCCTGTGCTATATAGAAGGTTCTCATAAGTTATGTATTTTATCAATACTATAAGAGGAGGGCATGGTAACCCACTCAAGTATTCTTGCCTGGAGAATCCCATGGACAGAGGAACTTGGCAAGGTAAAGTCCATGGAGTCACAAGGAGTCAGACATGACTGAAGTGACTTAGCATGCACATCAATAGTGTATGTCAATCTAAATCTCCCAATACATCCTATCACCCTTGCCCCAAACTGGCTTTAGAAAAAGCAGAGGAACCAGAGATCAAAATGCCAACACCAGTTGGATTATCAAAAAAGCAAAAGAGTTCCAGTAAAACACCTATTTCTGCTTTATTGACTATGCCAAAGCCTTTGACTGTGTGGATCACAAAAAAACTGTGCAAAATTCTGAAAAAGATGGGAATACCAGACCACCTGACCTGCCTCTTGAGAAATCTGTATGCAAGTCAAGAAGCAACAGTTAGAACTGGACATGGAACAACAGACTGGCTCCAAATAGGGAAAGGAGTACATCTAGGCTCTATATTGTCACCCTGCTTATTTAACTTATATGCAAAGTATATCATGAGAAACACTGGGCTGGATGAAGCACAAGCTGGAATCAAGATTGCCTGGAAGAATATCAATAACCTCAGATATGCAGATGACACTGCCCTTATGGCAGAAAGTGAAGAAGAACTAAAGAGCCTCTTGATGAAAGTGAAAAAGGAGAGTGAAAAAGTTGGCTTAAAACTCAACATTCAGAAAGCTAAGATCATGGCATCCAGTCCCGTCACTTCATGGCAAATAGACAGGAAAACAGGGGAAACAGTGATAAACTTATTTTTGGGGGCTCCAAAATCACTACAGATAGTGACTACAGCCATGAAATTAAAAGATGCTTGCTCCTTGGAAGAAAAGTTATGACCCACCTAGACAGCATACTTATTTTTTTCCCATTTATTTTTATTAGTTGGAAGCTAATTACTTTACAATATTGTAGTGGTTTTTGCCATACATTGACATGAATTAGCCATGGATTTACATGTATTCCCCATCCCAATCCCCCCTTCCACCTCCCTCTCCGCCCGATCCCTCTGGGTCTTCCCAGTGCACCAGCCCTGAGCACTTGTCTCATGCATCCAACCTGGGCTGGTGATGTGTTTCACCCTTGATAATATACATGTTTCAATGCTGTTCTTTTGAAACATCCCACCCTCACCTTCTCCCACAGAGTCCAAAAGTCTGTTCTGTACATCTGTGTCTCTTTTTCTGTTTTGCATATAGGGTTATCATTGCCATCTTTCTAAATTCCATATATATGCATTAGTATACTGTATTGTAGACAGCATATTTAAAGCAGAGACATTACTTTGCCAACAAAGGTCCGTCTAGTCAAAGCTATGATTTCTCCAGTAGTCATGTATGGATGTGAGATTTGGACTATAAAGAGGGCTGAGCATTGAAGAGTTGATGCTTTTGAACTCTGGTGTTGAAGACTCTTAAGAGTCCCTTGGACTGCAAGGAGATCCAACCAGTCCATCCTAAAGGAAATCAGTCCTGATTATTCATTGGAAGGACTGATGTTGAAGCTGAAACTCCAACACTTTGGCCACCTGATGCAAAGAGCTGACGCCTTTGAAAAGATCCTGATGCTAGGAAAGATTGAGAAGGGGACGACAGAGGATGAGATGGTTGGATGGCATCACCGACTCAATGGACACGAGTTTGAGTAAGCCCCGGGAATTGTTGATGGACAGGGAGGCCTGGTGTGCTGCAGTTCATGGGGTTGCAGAGTTGGACACAACTGAGTGACTGAACTGAACTAAACTGAACTCTTTCCCCAGTGGTATCCATAAGTTTGTTCTCTACATCTGTGTCTCTATTTCTGCTTTGCAAATAAGTTCATTTCTACCATTTTTCTAGATTACACATATAAGTGATATACAATATTTGTTTTTCTCTTTCTGACTTACTTCACTTAGTGTGATAGTCTCTAGTTGCATACATGTTTCTGTAAATGGCATTATTTTTTGTGGCTGAGTAGTATTCCATTGTATATATGTACCACATCTTCTTTATCTATTCATCTGTTGATGGACAATTAGGTTGTTTCCTTGTCTTGGTTATTGTGAATAGTGGTGATATATTTATTTACTTCTCAGTGGACATTTGGAGTTTTCCTGTTTACAGGTTTTTTTTTTTACTAATTCAAATTAAATTGCTATGAACATTCATGCACATATCTTTCTATGGATGTATTGTTTCTTTTCTCTTGGGAAATATCTAAGAGTGAAATGTCTAGATAATATGACAGGCATGTGTTTAATTTTTAAAGAAACAGCCAACCTGTTGTTGTTTTTTTTTTCCAAGCAATCATGTTTATTTATAATCCTGTGATCAGAAACAGGCCAATTAGAGGCCTTTGAGAGAGGTTGAAATCAAAGGAAAAGGAATGTATTAAAAATATAAAAAACACCTACTACAAAAACATAACATTTGTGTTTATACATAACCATTCATTTCATATAGATGTCTTTGGTGACACTAGTGATAAAGGACCTGCCTGCACACTAATGAAGGAGATGCAAGAGATGCAGGTTTGATCCCTGGGTCACGAAGATCCCCTGGAGGAGGGCATGGCAACCTGCTCTAGTATTCTTGCCTAGAAAATTCCAAGGACAGAGGAGCCTGGTGGGCTACAGTTCATGGGTTCACAATGAATTAGACATGACTGACCACAACAGCACAATAGAGGAATAACAAAAAATGGGAGGTAGGAAGCAAATACCCCATCCACCACTCAGCTGGCGCAGAAGACCATAAAGCCAGCTGACAAACATTTTCCATATCATCAATCCCTTAGAATTCTTTCTTTCTCTTTATTTTTATCAAGATATAGTTGATATACATTATGTAAATTACAGGTGTACAGCATAGTGATTCAATATTTTCATAGATTATACTGCATTTATATTTATTATTAAATATTTGCTATATTATCTGTGATGTATAATACATTCTTGTAGTTTATTTATTTTATATATAACAGTTTGTACCTCTTAATCCTCTCCCCCTATCTTGTCCCTTCCCATTTCCTTCCCCACTGATAACCACTGATTTGTTTACTACATCTGTGAACAGATATCAATTTGCTTTTTGTTATATTCACTAACTTGTTTTATTTTTTAGAGTCCACACATGATATTAATTGGTATTTCTCTCTGTGTGTCTGAATTATTACACTTAGCATAAAACCCTCCAAGTCCATCCACGTTGTTGCAAATGGCAAAATTTCATTCTTTTATGGCTGAGTAGTATTCAATTATATAAATACATATATATGTGTGTGTATATATATATATATATAATTTTCTTTATCCATTCATCTTTTGATGGACACTTAGATTGTTTCCATATCTTGGCAATAGTAAAGATGCTGCTATGAACATTGGGGATGCATGTATCTTTTTGAATTAATGTGTTTTTCTTTTCTTCAGATATATACAGAGGAGTAGAATTGCTGGGTCATTTGGTGATTCTATGTTTAGTTTTTTAAGGAACCTCCATATTGTTCTCCACAGTGGCTATACCAATTTACATTCTTATCAACGGTGAGTCAGTGCTCTCTTTTCTTTACATTCTCAGAGACATTTGTTACTTGTGGTCTACCAAACTGTTTTTTAATGTGTCTGTGACATTTTATATTCCCACCAGTAGTGTATGACAGTTCCAGTCTCTCTACATCCCATTCAATACTTCTGTACATCCCATCCAATACTTAATGTGGTTAATATTTTTAATTGTATTCATTCTAAAATGTGTGTGATGCTAACACATTGTGGTTTTAATTTGAATTTTCCTGATAATTAATAGTGTAAAACATCTTTTGATGTACTAATTTGTGATTCCTATATCTTCTTTAACAAAATGTCTGTTAAAATTCTTTTCCTGGCCGCGGGCGCCACCCATCGTGCCGGGGGAGGTAGGTCCTGATGGCCCTCGGAGCTGCAGCGCCTTTCGCTCCCTCCTTGCCACACTATACTCCAGTTTTTGCTTGGATTTACTCTTGACAACGTGGTTGGAATGTATCTGGCTCAAAACTATGACATACCAAACCTGGCTAAAAAACTTGAAGAAATTAAAAAAGACGTGGACGCTAAGAAGAAACCCCCTAGTTGCTGAAGCCAACTCCATCACTGCCTTCTGGATAAACTGTCTACTGTTCTCCAGGGCCTCCTTTACCGTCTGAACCAAAAGCTTTTGTTTTAATCTCCAGCCTCAGCAGTTTTCGTTTTTGCTAGACTTTGCATTGCCTTACAGCACAAAAGGGACCAGAAGTTAAGAACGACCCTTATTTCTCCAACATCCTCACTTCTTCCCTTCCTCCTTCCAGCTTCTTGGAAGGTCCTGAGAATGGAATCACGGTGCTCGATTAGTTATCATACCTTTAGTTAGTAAGTAGTCTCTCCCTTATTCTTTGAGATTTCTACTACCTTTTTCAAAAGAAAAATGGATGAGTTTTGTGTAGTTGATGAGATCCAAGTAATGCGTGTTTCAGAGTCTGGTAATTATAATGGGTTTTTAAACATTTGGTACTAAATAATGTTGTTTCACAGTAGTAATTAAAATGAAAATCTGGAAGCTAATTTCTGTGAATTATCTACTGATTTTACATCATCAGGAAGCTCCATAGTTGCTAATTTCACCAATAAATCAATTTACTATTCATTAACCAAGAAACTGTGTTCTGAACCTATCAGGAATTGGGGAATTTAAAAGTATTTAAAATAATGGTCTTTGTCTTCAGTAGAATTCATAATCTAGTGTGTCTGTTTTTTCTAGATGTATTTGATCTGGCTCTTTTCAGTCATGAGAATCATAGTTAATGGGATTACAGGTACCTTTGACATTACATGGTAGATCTATGAGAAATTGTTTATAAAGGAAATTTTCTGCATTTTTGCATTAAAAAAGTATGTACATTATAACTTTAGAGTGATTCTCATATGACTTTGTGTTTTTTTCCTGCAATCAGAAATTACTCTTGTAATTTTTCAAATGCATACTCAGTCCATAAATTTTTTTAGATGTAAAAAAAAAGTTTAAATACATAACTTTCCTCTGGGTCTGTACAAAAGTGATTTGTATTATCCTCCAGCTCCTAGTTCCTCTCACTGGAGTCAGACATTGTTGCTAGTTTCCTGTATCCTTTTGAGAAAGATTTTGTGCCTAAATACACACACATACATGGGGGTTTTGATACAAATGAGAACAAACTGTATACAGAGTCTTCCCCGGTGGGGAAGCAGTATGGAAGGAACAAAGAACTGTTTTCATTTTTTGGCTGCATAAGGTTGTACTGAATGAATATACTATAAAATGCATTTAATCTGCTCCTGAGGAATGCTTAGGTTTTTTTCCTGTCTTGCTACTACAGTGGTAACGTAAAACTTGATGTTATTATGCTTGTCAATGCAGAGGGATAGCTCCATCCTCAAGTCCTAGAAGGGTAATTTGCACTAAATATAAATAAAGTCCCATCTCATCGGGCATTTTGTTTGAGAGAGCTTGTTGGGCAGCTTTGCTGATAATGCCATTTCTGAAGACATTTTAGCAGAATCAGTAACCTGAAAGAATGGCTTAGAGACCTTTTTTTTCAGACAGTGATGCCACTGCCTGTGATGATAAAATGAAGTGATTCTACTTCTCTTGAAAAACACGGATCTTTCATACATGGAGATGAGTTTTGTCCCTGTCGAGTTGTACTGGTGTGTGAGACAGATTAGACCATATTATGGACTGGCTTCTCCCTTCAAGTGTGATCAAGCACTTGCTTGAAATAAGCAAGCAGCTTATTTTTCTGAAACTGTTGTATTCTCTGTACCTACCTCAGAGGGCTTCCATGAGAAACAGCTGAAATAATGTGTGTGATGTGTAGCACAGTGCTTTGCAAATTATCCAATAAATAGTAGATACTAGTCCAAAAAAAAATTCTTTTCCTATTTGATGTTTAATGTTTATTATTGCATTATTGAGTTTTGTGATTTTATTTTATGTTGGTTTGTTTATTTGCTTCCTGAGTTTGTGTGTGTGTATGTGTGTGTGTGTGTGTGCATGTGTGTATTCTGGATACATGTCCTTTATCAGGTGTGATATGAAAATATTTTCTCTCTGTAGCTTATTTTTTTTATTCTCTTAACAGTGTTTTTCAAGGAGAATAGCTTTAATTTTGATAATGTCCAGTTGTCATGAATCATGTTTTTGGTGTCAAATATAATAAGTCTTTGCCTCCCTGAAGGTCATAAAATTTTTCCCTATATTTTATTTCAGATATTTTATAGTTTTAAATTTTGTATTTAATTTAATGATGCATTTTGAAAAAAAATGTATGTAATGTGAGATGTGGGCTTCCCAGGTGGTTCGGATGGTAAAGGATCTGACTGCAATGCAGGAGACGCAGGTTGGGAAGATCCTCTGGAGGAAGGCATGGCAACCCACTCCAGTATTCTTGCCTGGGAAATCCTACGGACAGAGGAGCCCACAGTCCACGTGGTTGCAAGAAAGTCTGACACAACTTAGCAATGAGAGGTGCTAACAATGAGAGGTGTATTTCAAAGATAGGAAGAAAAGGGCTATATTGGTGATCTCTATGAATGTTAGGCATTTCTCGTCCAACTATTTTAAGCTCTCTAAACTCTCACTTTCTACACCTCAGTACTCACTTTCAGAGTGTATTAAACCCAAGACAGAGAGTACAAGAAGTAAAAAATATGCTAAACCCACTGTCAGTTCCCTGGTATTTTGAATTTGGTTGTCCTTTCTCAATTTGTTCACTGCTATTTATATTTCAAAGTCCTCAGCTTCTCCACTCATTCTTTCCCAGCTGTAGCTGTATTCAGTGGCAGAGATGGGTGGCATGTTTTCATTTTGTATTACCTGAAATCAGAATCAACATTCCCACTTCCATATGTTTCTATCACTGTGTTCACCTCACAAGCACACACATAGCCTACAAAACAACTCCCTATTCTTCGGTGGGCTAAATATAAATATTGATCAGTCCAGAAGCCAATAGCCAAGTCTTTCTTTGGATGCCAGAAGCACCAAAAAGTAAAGATGCATAAAATATACTCTATTGTTCAATGAATAAGCCCTGTATATATGAAAGAAAAGTGAAAGTGTTAGTTGCTCAGTCATGTCTAACTCTTTATGATTCCATGGACTATAGCCCACCAGGCTCCTCTGTCCATGGGATTTTTCAAGCAAGAATACTGGAGTGGGTTGCCATTTCCATTTACTCCTGACCCAGGGACTGAATCTGGGTCTCTTGTGTTTCCTGCATTGCAGTCAGATTCTTTACTTTCTGAGCCACCAGGGAAACCCCAATAATGTAATGAAAGAATTTTGTTTCTCACAAGTGTGCACACAAAACTGTCGCTTGTTTTTTTTTTTTTAATGTACATTTTAGTCTGCTAAGTAGTTCAATTGCATACATATCTGCTGGACTCTCAATCTGGATAAACAGAATGTTTTCTCATTGCATACCATCTGTGCCAATAACTTACCCCAAACTTCTCAATTTTAAGGAAAGATTTTTTAAAACTTCTCATTTAGTATAATATTTCCTTTTATCCTAAAATTCCAAATATAATTGAATTTTCTCTTTTAACACAAAGACAGGTTTAAATAAAGATGATATATAAATACATCTGAAGATAATTACTTTTGAAAAATACTCTGGGATTAGAAGTATCTCAGACTGTAGCCCAAGTTCTGTATTGCTCACCAAAGAACAGAAGTGACAAAGGCCTTTTAAGAGAAATCTCACAGAAAAATAAATATATTCTTAGTGTATAGTACAATGATTTTTGAATTTGAAACTTGAAATATCTTCCAAAGTTCCTGAAATGGAAGAGTCCATAAAAAATATTTCTACTTTTCTCTTCCTAATAATTATTTATATTAACTCATCCTGATTATTTATATTTATATTAAGTCATCCTGGAAAACTCATGAGGTTTGAACTGCTTTATTTTTCTTTTTGAGGTTAATACAGCAGATGTGTTAAGCACTTTTTGAATGTTTTTAGATTAGAATCAATAAAAAAATAAGACTTGGTGACAGAGAATAGTGAAAAAGAAAGTCGCTCATTTGTGTCTGACTCTTTGTAACCCCTTGGAATTCTCTAGGCCAGAATATTGGAGTGGGTAGGCTTTCCCTTCTCCAGGGGATCTCCCCAACCCAGGGATAGAATCCAGGTCTCCCACATTGCAGAGGAATTCTTTACCAGTTGAGCCACAAGGGAAGTCCACACAGTGAGAACATCAAAATGTTAGCTTTATTCCTGATACTTAACCAAAGTGCTTGCAAATAATTCCCCCTTGAGCTAGACAAATTTAGTTATCCAGTCTCTGTTACTGCTAGAAAATTGCTGCCTTCCTCATCTCCTAGCACCATAGAACAAGTCCATTTTAACTTACAGCATGAAGAAAGCCAGAATGAATCCTCATTGTAGACAGTAAGATCCAAAGGCAGAAGACAAGACTGATCTAGGAATACTCAATTTCTTCTTCTCCCAAGCTCACCAATCATCCTCTCCAAGGGAGGAAAGCTTAGGGACAGAGATCAGGAGTGTAACTGTGAAATCCTTCAATGTGGAAAAAAGTAGCCAGGGAAATGGAGGACCTTTAATCCACCCTCATTCCAATGTTTCATAAGGTCTTTGCTGTTTTAACTCACATATCTTATCATTAAGTAAACTTATGGTAAGTCAAGTTGTAGCCACATATCCCATCACCATATTTTATTAGAGTTGTCTTTTCACTCAACATATGAAAACTTTTATTAATAATTGCCAATCGAGCCCTGTGCTCCTGGTACTATAGTTAGTAGTACCATGGATTCATTCTGGATTTTGTCTAGCCACCTGGCCACCATGCTCTCATTAGCAAGATTTCCCACACCTATAGCAGTAAATTATTCATTTACAAAGATAGTCTTTCTCTGTAGTTCTAGTCTCTGTCTCCTATTTCTCATCCTCCCTTACATCCATCTATGTTGTAATAAAGTTCATCAGAAGTTCTAATATTAGATCACATTTAGATAGACCAATAATAAAATGACCAGAATATAGAGATGCTCTGAATTCGAAAACAAAAAAACCTCTCCTTTCTCTTTATGAATTTCCCATAAATAAATAAACTCCAAAGAAGTTAATAAAAATTAATTTGCTCCTGTGTCAAATTAAATTAAAATCCAAGGATCTTAGGGGCTTCCCAGGTGGTGCTAGTGGTAAAGAATACACCTGCCAACACAGGAGATGGAAGAGACACAGGTTCGAGCCCTGAATCAGGAAGATCTCCTGGAGGAAGGCATGGCA